AACTAACAAATCTATTTTTAAAATGCAAAGACTGGAAAGTAGAGATAATTGCAAACGTATGTAAAGAAGTAAAAATTACACAAATTTCCAATTAGGTAAGGTAATGAAGTATTTGTATTTTGTTACTTGACACCTACAATGCTAAGACATTGACGTCAAACTAGTAGCCAACTTGCTATTTTAGTAGCCCAAACACATTAGTCCTTTTTTTCTTACATTAAGATTTATATTTTCCCAGATGAGGACATGGAAATGGGGGGGCTTTCCAGCCGGAGGGAGTCTGAGGCCGGTGATCATTTGACTCTGGAAGCTGCAACAGATGCTCCAACACAAAGGAGACGGAAGAAGAAGAAAGCCGTGCCTACAGGTAAAAAAACTAAACATGCTGCTTTTCTTTCCTATTTCATGAAAATTTCTCCTAGCATTTTCCAACTCAAGTGTCTGGATTTCAGATTTGGAAGAAAACCAGGCGGACCTGGTCAACGGAGACACGGGAGATCAAACCACTGATGGAGAAGAAGTTGTTAGGAAACCCAAAAAGAAAAAGTAATTAAGTAAAAATAAAGAAATACACAAAATTAGAGTAAAAACCACAAAATGCGGAAGACTGATGTTTGTCATCTTCAGGAAATCAAAGGTTGGAGAATCCCAGCTTCCGGAGGAGTTTTGTGTCGAAGAGGATGACATCATCAATGACACGTCTTCGCCGATCCCCCAGCAGTCTCTGTTCTCGGCCCCGCAGGGCCAGAGCCAGCCGGTCGGGAAGCTGTTCGTAGAGAGAAACAGTCAGTTGAACAATGATTTCACCGAGTTGGTTAAGAAAGAGGAATTTTAGCCCCTTTAGGACATTTTAACTGTATTTATAATCTGAAAAAAAATGTATTAAACATTTTAAATTCCATACATATTTAAATGATGGATTCTTATTATTGAAAACTTCTGTGCTTATTTGTCCATGTTGATGTTCAGAGCGATTCCAGGCTGCGGAGCGCTCTGACTGGAAGACGACCAGCGACCAGATGGATAGCATGACCGAGCTCCAGCATATGCAGCAGCTTTGGACATCTAGAGACGTTTCTGTCCGAGTGCACGAAGGCTTCAGGTGAAATAACAAAAAAAGAAAACTGTCTTTAAAAAAATTTATTTAATCTTTTCTTAAAGTTTCTCTGGTTTCTGTGGCTCAGGGTGTTTGGTCTGTACTGCCACGGCTTTCTGGCCGGGTACGCAGTTTGGAACGTGGTGGTGGTGTACATGCTAGCCGGGCAGCACCTCACCGCTCTGCCCAACCTGCTGAAGCAGTACCACGGCCTGGCGTATCCCTTCCAGTCTCTGCTCTATATGCTGCTGGCCATCAGCACCGTGGCCTCCTTCGACAGGTGAAGCCCCTGAACTACATTTTCCTTTGTTCATTAAAGTCGTAGGGAAGTCATATTTAAATGTCAAATCATTCTGGCTTAAACATGTATATAAATGTACTCTTATCAGAAGATATTGTCGAAAAAAGTTAGAACATTTCTATTAAAAAAAAATTTCCTGTCTTAAAATCTTTGGGGTTTTATTTTTGTTATTTTATGCAGGCCAGTTAGTTATACGTTAGCTTGTACACCTAAATCCGTCCAATCATATATCAATGGTCTTCTGTCATTCGATTTTTTCGGTCATAGCATGTTAAATCATATGTTGCAGCTAATATATGCAACGGTTGACATAAGAAATACGAATCATTTACTTCACCATTGAGTTCCGTCCCAGTGTTCACAGGGATGGACGTCTGTGTCTTCGGCAGGCGTAGAGCTAACAGAACTGGCAGCGTTGTGAGGCAAGGGCTCTGCCGCCATGGCGTCCTCTTCCACAACAATTTCATCCCTGCTTTCCTCCTCTAGATAGAAAATGTATGACGGAAAAGACTCAACCACGACCTTGACCCAAATCTCTCCTCCTCTTGCATGTTTCCGCTGTCCATAGCTTTCCTTGACAGTGTCTTTGCTAAGTGCTACATAGTCCCAATGTAATTTCCCATTGGGAACCTACTAGCACTAAGTTGCTAACTGGTTAGCAAGATGCTTCCGAGACACCGGCCACAACCAAACTTGCTTGCAAACCTTCCGCCACAACAATCCCGCACCTTAGATAAACGAGTAATCACATTCACTTTATTCACTCGTGTAATAAAAAGGATACACACCAAGGTATAAGGTTTATAAGGCTCCTTTTGCAGGAGAAAATGCTGGTTAGGAGGTGTGAGGGGCCCCAGTCCCGCCCGTTGTAAGAGGGCAGTTGTTACTACAACTATAAAAACCATAAAATCTAATGTGGTGACAACCAGAGCCTATATCATGACGATTGTGTTACTGTCCAGATATTTCTGGTCTCAATGTAGACAGAAGAGAGAAAGAAAAAATAAACTCAATAAAGATGTTAAACTTGTTAACCTTTAGCTTATTACTATAGGGTTGGTCTGATTCATTCTTTATGTGTACTGAGAATATTTTTGTATTTTCAGGGTAAATCTGGCTAGGGGTCCCGTGGCTCTGCGGGAGTTCATCACTCTGGATCCCGTGGCTCTGGCCTCCTTCTGTGAGTCTGAATCATCCATTCAGAGCTGATTGATTCCTCTCTGTTTGCTTTAATCCCAAACTCCCTCTTTCATTCCTCGCAGTGTATTTCTCAGCGTTGGTCCTCTCTCTGAGCCAGCAGATGACCAGCGATCGCATCAACCTCTACGCATCCTCCAACATGACCTTATGGTGAGCTGACTGCGATTATCCTGATGTTCTGAGACAAATTCTGACGCCAGGATTAAGTTTCTCAATTGTAATCTGTTCCCGCTGTAGGCCTCCAGGATCGGAGCACCAGCTCCTCCACCCGTGGGTGACCATCAACCTGGTGGTGGCTCTGCTGGTGGGCTTGGCGTGGATCTTCATCTCCACCAGACCCGAGACGGACTACACTGAAGGTGACTAACCATTCCACATCCAGTACAATCTGCCTTTAACATGTCGATTATATCATATTTCTGCCTTCTATAGGTTATCTGAGGACAATGGAGGTTGAGCCTCCGAAGCCAGACGACAACTCAGAAATTACTGCCTGAGCTCCTGTAAATCTCCGGCTGCAGCTTTGTTGACGTCTGTGATTATTTTAGAGATTATTTTTCAAATGTTTGTTTCTTAAAATAAAGAGTTTAAACTAATCCAACAATGCATCATCCTTCAATCTGATCAGAAATCAACGCAGCGCCAAGCTCTATTAGAAATCCAATTATCTTCCAAATAAAAGATTAAAAAGATTTAAAGAAGCATATAAACCAACAATTAGAGCATAGCTGTGTAATGAAGTGTTGATTAAACCTGCAGGCTTTTCTCAAAAAATTTTTGTTTTTAAAATACTTATTATGGAAAAAATACATATATTTTAGGTAGTTAAAGACATCACAGCAAAGCAGTGCTACATAGAAGTGAAGGCCTCTGAAGAACTGAATTGGTTCCAGCACAGGGATCAGTGCTGGAACCAATTCTCTTTACTATATATATGCTTCCAATCAGTAGAGTTATTAGACAGCATAGGTTTATTTCCACTGTTATGCTGATGATAACCAAATAGTGGTTCCTTAAATTTCTAAAAATAGAATGGGAGTCACTGCAAAAACCATCTAGAATTAAGTAAAAAAAAAAAAAAATCTTAAATTGAGTGTATTTTAGCAGTTAAATAAGATTAATTGCCAATGGAATTAGTATTTCTACCCCTAAAACAAGATAATTAGATAATATGCACTTGAAATAAGACAAAGCAATTGTTTTTTTCTTATTTTAAATGTAAATTGTCTTGTTCCATTGGCAAAGTATCTCAATTACCTCCTCAATTCAAGAAACAATGCACTTCATTTAAGCAAAAATGACTAATTTAGATTTCCATTTTTTGCAGTGGGCAGATCTTTTAGTAGTCAGGCTCCTTTCCTGTGGAACCAACTACCAGTTTTAGTTTAAAACCTTATCCTGTGCATCTCTATAGTTATGTTGCTAGAGGTTTAGACAGCTGGAGGACATAGGGTCCCCTTTTTCATTATTCTACTTCATGCATCTCTCCCATTCTGCAGAATTTGTTAGTTCAATCTTGAACACTATTCTCTCTCTGCTTTTTCTCATAGTAGCTGGTCTGTTCCTGTTTGGCTGTGACTCCATCCTGGAGAGAAATATCAGCTGTGCTGCTGCCATCAACACCGTTGTTTATAGATGTTGGAGATCGGTCTGTTTTTTTAGTGTAATCCTGTTTCTCTGACTGTGACTGGTTGGAAGTGCTCTCTTCATCCTCTGACATGGGAGCTGGCTCAGAGCTTGTCTGTCTGGCTGTGTCGCCTGTGGAGCTGGTTTATAGTTGCCTTTTGTATCTCTGTTTCTGTCTCCTTGAACCCCAGTCGGCCTCTGCAGATGGCCACTCACACTGAGCCTGGTTCTGCTGGAGGTTTCTTCCTGTAAAAAGGGAGTTTTTCCTCTCCACTGTCACTACAAGCATGCTTAGTGTGAGGGATTGCCTTTGAGATTATGAGTCAATGCAATCAACTGGTTTCCTTAGATAGAAAACTTTGAATCAATGTGACTGTATGATCTGGTGAATGTTAAGTACCTTGAGATGACATGTGTTGCGAATTGGCGCTATAGAAATAAACTGAGTTGAATTAAACATGAAGCAACAGAACTATCTATCGTACATGGGTGTTCCAGAGTAATGATCACTCAAAAAATTAAATAGGAAACCTAAAAGGGCCATTAAGTGGTCTGGTAAGTCAGATATCAATACTGCAATTCTACTGACACTGACATTTTTTGGATAAAGATTCCCTCTTTAACTTACAATTTCGATATTCATATAAATTAATAAAATGTATGATTATTTTTCACATATTTAATCATTAATAAGAAATAAAATGTAATGTAACTGTCAGGGATTGAAAAAATTGTCCTGGAATGCACACAAGAAGTCGATCGATTGCTTTTGTCTGCTGTGCTTTGTCTGCCCAGGTGGTGTAGTCGCACACAGATAAAAAATGTTGACGTGGTAACTGTCAACATTAGGATGAAAACTATCAAATAAAAACGAAAAAGCACAAACGAAAGCAGCCATGTTGGACTTTGCCATTTTCGCTGTCACGTTTGTCGTCATTTTGGTCGGTGCTGTTCTTTATTTGTACCCGGTAAGTCCGTGTTAGCTCAAAGTTACTTATCATTAGCAGGCTGCTATCTTAAGGTCAGACTTCAGGCAAAAAACATTCGATTTTAAAACTATCACTGATTATTGAAGTCATATGAGCTAGTATGTATAAAACTTTTACAAATATAGACATGTAGAGATGTGATCTAATGTTCGGCATTTGTTATATGTAACTGGCAGGAAGTAAAGTTTAGGAAAAAACGGTTTAAAGGATTTAAGATTTGCTCCGACCTGTTAAAACGCGGAAAAAATAAAAAAACTTAAAACTTCAGAGTGTATAATTTCATTGCCGATTTTTAGCAAGAGCGAATATCTTTTGCATAATCAAATAACTGTCCTTAAAATGCTTGCTCTACCTTTTAAATGGCTAAAAATAACGACATTTAAATGGGAATCGCCTATTAACTGGAGTTGATGCTTGTTTGCAGTCTTCCAGGAGGGCCTCTGGTATCCCTGGCCTCTACCCCACAGATGAAAAGTAAGTTATCATATTTAACCCTATTTATTTTATTTTATAATATTAATTTGATATACCACTTTTTAAAATTCTATTTTGTTTATATAATATGATTTATTATAGCACTTTGTTTCTGTGGGTATTCTGTGTGATATTTAGATATTTTAACACATCTGCATACTTTAACTGTATTTTCTTGTCTTTTTCTTTTTGATAAATGGCTTTTTATAATATTTATACTAAAAAGAATTAAGAAGTACTACATAGCTGCTTAGATAAGTCTTAAATATTTACCAAAATTGTTCATTTAGATGCTTTTATTGAGCCACCAATGCTTGTGATGATGCTGTTCAATTCAGTTTATTTCTATAGCGCCAATTCACAACACATGTCATCTCAAGGCACTTTACAGTTCACCAGATCATACAGTCAAATTGATTCAAAGTTTTCTATCTAAGGAAAACCAGTTGATTGCATTGATTCATTGACTGGGATGCAATTCCTCACACTAAGCATGCTTGTAGTGACAGTGGAGAGGAAAAACTCCCTTTTAACAGGAAGAAACCACCAGCAGAACCAAGCTCAGTGTGAGCGGCCATCTGGCGAGGCCGACTGGCGTTCAAGGAGACAGAAGCAGAGATACAAAAAGTAAAAGGCGGCCCGTCCAGGAAACACACAGCCAGGCGGACGAGCTCCGAGCCAGCTCCCATGTCAGAGGATGAAGAGAGCACATCCTGCCAGTCACAGTCAGAGAAACAGGATTACACTAGAAAAACAGGCTGATCTTCAACATCTATAAACAAAGGTGTTGATGGCAGCAGCATAGCTGACATTTCTTTCCAGGATGGAGTCACAGCCAAACAGGAACAGACCAGATGAAGCTACTATGAGAAAAAGCAGAAAGAGCAGAACGTTAGAGATTGAACTAACAGATTCTGCATAATGAGATAGAATGAAGCAGAATGATGAAACAGGGGTCCCTATGTCCTCCAGAAATCTAAGCTTATAGCAGCATAACTATAGAGATAGCTCAGGATGTTGACATTTGTTGTCTCACTGCTTATTTAGGGATGGGAATTTGCAGGACATCATCAACAAAGGCAGTCTGCATGAGTTCCTCGTCAACCTCCATCAGGAGTTTGGATCTGTGGCATCCTTCTGGTTCGGCGGGCGACCGGTGGTCAGCCTGGGCTCCGTGAAAAAGCTGCGGCAGCACATCAACCCCAATCACACCAGTGAGGATGTCGTGCTTGCCGCTGAACGTTTTTGTTTCTTTTGTTTATCAGAGCTTTTCTCATTTCTCTCTCTGTTTTCATAGCGGACTCGTTTGAAACCATGTTGAAGTCGCTGCTGGGATACCCTCCGGGGAGGGGAGGTGGGCCCAACGAGTCAGTAGTTAGAAAGAAACTCTATGAGGCGGCCATCAACAACAGCCTGAAGAGCAACTTTCCTTTCATGCTTAAGGTGTAAAAATATCACATTAAATGAATTTTCCTTTAAAAACGACGCACCAATCTGGATTTTCTTTAAATACTTTTCTGTCCAGGTGGCGGAGGAGCTGGTAGGAAAGTGGAAGTCTTTCCCAGAGGCCCAGCATATTCCTCTCTGTGCCCACCTGCTGGGTCTCTCTCTGAAGACCATCACCCAGCTGGGTCTGGGCGAGCGCTTCAAAGACGACGCTGAAATCATCTCCTTCCGCAAGAACCACGATGCGGTTAGAATTGTGACCGATTTAACTGTTGTTTCTTTTCTTTGTTTTAAGGCATCAACATTAAATCCTTTTTTCCTCTAATCGCCACAGATCTGGTCTGAAATTGGGAAGGGCTACATGGACGGATCCTTGGAGAAAAGCTCCAGTAGAAAAGCACATTATGAGAGTGGTGAGTCCTCCTACCATCTTTTCCAAACATTTGGAAAAGTAACTCAGTTTTTGCTTAAAGGGATCCGTGATTAGTTGTAACAATAGATCTTATTTGAGAATGATTTATTTTGAATGTAAAAACAATGCACAAAAAAAAAAATCCCGTAAGATGCTAAGTTTTAATAAGTTTAAATGAAATATAGTCACATAGACGTCGCCACGTTTCATCCAGGGTTAAATTACGTATGCTAGGTCCTGTAGTGCTAGTTTAAACCGCAATTTGGAACATTTAACCTTTTGAATTTGAAATTGATTAAAATGTAGAACTCATGAAAGTTAATGAAGATGGGGACCAAATGGAGGAAGATGGGAGGGTTTCCGTCTCCCGCTAATAGATGCTAACCCAGATAGAGAGCTATGCTACAAAGAGCTACAGTTTCTGTTTACGGTTAGCATCGGGATCCAGAAAAAAGTGTTAAAATGACTGAAAGATGCTTCTCTTTCACTTTAACCAGTTGTTCATTGTCTTATAATTAGATTTTTTATTATGTTAGCCTCTGCTAATTGTATTAGCTCTAGCTGATATAGCAAACGGTGGATCACGGGGTGATCACATGCTCTTTTCAATAGATATCTCATGAAGACTTTGAGGCAGTCACGCAGTGTGACATTGTTAAAAGTTTCACCAATCAAATGTAGTCTGATTAAAAAATAGCTCTGCTAATGTTAGCCTTCCTTTATTTACTATATAGGATCCATTTCAGTAAGACCTAACCGCATTATCTACCCAGCATGCATTGCGCAAACAAAATGGGGACCTCCATGGGTGAAATATATCCTAAGAATATATAATTTTGAAGTAATAAGTTTTCAATGTATCTCAAGCTGCAATTTTTAAGTTTTTAATTGGAAAATAGAAATATTTAATCCCACATGTTCAACTAGTTGTGGATCGCTTTAAGCTCCAGCTTTGCATTACTCAAAAGTAGGTTATAAACTCTTAATATAGATAAAATAAGATCTGGTCTTTGAAAAAAAAATCTATGATTTCACATTCAGTTCTTTTTTTTTTTTTACAGTGTCTGCTCTTTAATTATTAGTTTAAATATCTCCAATAAACCCCTAAAAAGGCGGGAATCACCATAGCAACCAGTAGGTCATAGTTGATCTCTAGCTCTTATGTTTATCACCTTCTGTTATACAAGCTTGTCAAAATAAATACTAAATATTGCAGAGCTAACTGAAGGAAGTATTTTTTAATCAAAGCTCATTGTGCAGATGCATTCATCCAGCTTTAACCTGCAAAAGGTCATTAGTGTTAGAAAACTGTGATTTTTATGTACAAAATGTCAAAACATAACAAAATTTAATCCATCTATGTGTACGTTTGGACAAAATTCGCATTCGAATGCAGCAAAGAGGTCATATATTTATGAAGGAGGGATTTGGGGACATCTAGTGGTCGAGTCATTAACTGCTTTCCTCATCTTCAGAGCTTAAAGGAGAACCTGTAGCATCACCTGAAAGGAAAAATTGCTGTTGGAACAAATTGCCCTCCAGGAACTCTTTGCTGGATTTTACCAAACATTTGCTGTATTTTTCTTCTTTTTTTCAAATTTAACCTTACATTAGTTTTTATTTCTGGTCAGCTCTCTCAGAGATGGAGTCTCTGCTGCTGTCAGTGGTAAAGGAGAGGAGAGCCCAAAAAAAGCAGACGGCGTTTGTGGACGCTCTTCTTCAGTCCAGCCTCACAGAGCGACAGGTAGTCTAAGGAAGATGATTTAAAAGAATAAAAAAAAAAAATAACTCCAAGCTACTACAGGAACCCATTTAATTAGTGTTTCACCCTTTTTTCTGCTGTTTAGGTCATGGAGGACTGCATGGTTTTCACTCTGGCTGGATGCGTCATCACTGCTAACCGTAAGTGACGAATTTACCTTTAACCGGAATGATCCGAATCCAAAATGAAAAAGCAGAATCACTGTTTTTGCAGTGTGCATCTGGGCGCTGCACTTTTTATCCACATCCAAGGAAGTGCAGGAGAAGCTTTACCAGGAGATACAAGATGTTTTAGGTTCTGACCCAGTAACCCTGGACAAGATTCCTAAGCTCAGGTAAAACCTAGCCCTTCTTATTGGTTCTGTTTAAGAGAAACACATAATGAGTCTGAAATTCTCCTTCTTTGGGAAGATACTGCCAGCAGGTTCTCAATGAGACGGTGAGGACCGCCAAGCTGACCCCCGTAGCTGCTCGGCTTCAGGAAGTGGAGGGGAAAGTCGATCAACATGTGATCCCTAAAGAGGTATCAGCTTTCCTGAAGCATCTAGCCCAGGGGTTTGCAGCCCTTACAATCTAAAAAGCCATTTTTTACTCCTGTCCAGATAATAAAACTAATTTACAGCCGCAAAGATTGCCTTTTTTAATAAGCATCTACACAGGAGATTTGCACTTTTAAATAACAACAGAGTCATTTTAAGATGAAGGAATAAGCTTGAAAAAAAAGAATATATACTTTTCCAATAGGTTTCTGATATTTTTGGAATACTATATATTTTAAATATCTATTTTTTCCCTTTAAACATATCAAAATATATATATTTGTTATAATTAGTCATTTAATTTTGTGAATTGAAGAAAAAAAATGACTTCAGTCCTGCTGATAAGATACATTTAAAACTGCAAACATCACATGGCATTTTTTCCAAAAAAAGGAAAAATAACTTTTTCATTTGACAAATATGTAAAAAAAAAAAAGGTAAAATATCTGAAAATGAACTCTGTCTGTCTGTCTATCTATCTCACATGACCTTAATGTAAGAGCACGTATATTTAACAAATATTGACAGTTTGAACAGGTATGAACAGGTTGCTAATATTTTTAGAATGTTATTGTTTTTAAACTTAAAAAAAAAAGGACAAAAAGCATATATTGGTTCTAATTTTTGTTCTTTTTGGGGAAATTCAGCGCATTTAGTCAGTAGAAAAAAGACCAAAACATGCATTTGTTAGTATATCGATGTTAAAAACACTACCTTGCTGTTAATCATGTTCAGCCAAATTGATAGAGAGCCACTGTGGAGTTTTAAAGAGACCCTCTGGCTGCAGAGGGTTGCAGAACACTGATCTAGTCAGTATGACAATATGAGGAAAGGACAGTAATAATGCATTTGTTCATGTTTCAGACTCTGGTCATCTATGCCCTGGGAGTGGTCCTTGAAGATGCTGACACATGGAGCGCCCCCTACAGGTTCACACATTGTTTTGATTTTTGTGCCTGATTATTTGCGTGTTTTGGGGTTTCAATTTCTGCTACAAGAAGTTGTAGTGATCAAATCAAAGGTTGTTGTTTCTATATCAAAGTAGGTCAAAACTAGGTCCTCAACAGGACAAAATCACCAAACATGCAGCAAATCTATGTTGGAGTAGTTAAAAAAAAAAAAATCAGTCATCTCTTTACCCAGTGTTCAAGGGGTTCCCCAAGGATTTGAACTAGGACTTCTACTTTTTCCAATTGTTTTCATTTTTCCCAAATCAGAAAGTTTACATTTTAATTCAATTTACAGTGTCTAGAATTTGAAATCTCTATAGGAATTAGAATGTGGAATATATATTTAATTATTTTTTTTTTACTTATATTTATTAGATTCGATCCAGATCGATTTGAGGAAGAATCGGCAAGGAAGAGCTTCTGCCTTCTTGGCTTCTCAGGGAACCAAACGTGCCCAGAACTCGGGTAATGACACATTTTAATAACTCTGAGCTGCTGTCAGAAGAACACGGTTTAAATATCTGAACTGCTTTCCGTCAGTTTCGCCTACACTGTGGCTACAGTCCTGCTCAGCACGCTGGTGCGACAGCTGAAGCTTCACCAGCTGGGAGATCAAGCAGCAGAGGTCCGATCTGAGCTGGTTTCCACGCCGAAGGATGAGACCTGGATCACAATCAGCAGTAGGAAAACCGCAACATAGTCTGCAACATTGTGTATTTAGAAAGCAATCAACCTGAGTGAGCATTTACCATCAAAGTATTACAGTTGCGATTTAAAATCAAGCTCTTAATTGAACCCATTTTAAGGCATGAGGACTTGAAGCACATTTCCACCTTTTAAGTGAGGAAACTCTTACCAGAGTGAAAAAGAATTGTTTTTTAAAGGTGGACCCTGAAACAAGTGCTGCCATCTAGTGGCTGTGGTAAGATCACATCTTTCCAATAGGTGGTTCATCTGTTCTTGAGGAAATTTGCCAAAATAATCAATATAAAATAAAACTATTTGAACTTAAAGCTCTTTTTGTTGGATAATCTACAGATGGAAAAATTACTCAGAATTAGATTTTCCTTTTTTTTTAATACAATGTTTCGCTCTTGTCCTGTTTTCAAGCAGATTTTTCATCTAAAAAATGGGTAAACACACATTTTTTTTAAATCACAAAGATATTTTCGAGTACGAGTTTGTTGCAAATGTTTGTTGTTATTTTCATCACTGTTTCAGGCCAAATTTTGAAGAGCCTTGTAACATTTGTAACAATGCGTTCACTTTTTTTTAAGCCTCTTATGTAATAAAACTTGTGCCAAAAATTTGTTGTTTTTGTTTACTTTACAAAAATGTATTTTATTAATAGGTATGCGTATTTTACACATTTATTTAGTACTATCTGAATAAATTTACATGATGTTTGAGTATAGATGACCAGCAGGCTTAACCAAGACAGATAATTTATTTGAAATTTAAACTTATTAATTGGTATTTAAACGTCATATGATTTTTATTTTAATAAAATGAAGTGTTGCACTAAATTTGGAAAGTGAGTTTTCCTCTTCAAAAATCAGCCTTGTTTCCCCTGCTGGTCCACAGGCGGCCGCTAGAGGCACAGCGGAGCCCCGCTTCCACAGGCGGCCGCTAGAGGCGCAGCGGAGCCCTGCATCCCGCTCCGCTGAAAGATGTGAAAATGGCGGAGCTACAAATGCTTCTAGAAGAGGAGATTCCAGCGGGGCGAAGCGCTCTGCTGGACAGTTTCACCAACTTGGAAAGAGTAGCCGAGTACTGCGAAAGCAACTATGTCCAAGTAGGTTATTGTTTCATTTTTTGGCTCCGATTTTAAACACTCGCATCCCTGATTCCGGCGAGCTAATGCTAGGCTAACTGTTGCTAACGCTGTTTGATAGCTACCCTCTGCTAAAGCGAAAACAAACGACACTTATTTGGGATTAAATCAAACAGTATCATGGTTTTATTTAGTGTTATCGACGTTACTCACTATAGCTTGTAGGTTTACATTTTTAACGTTGTGGTGTAAATGTATTGTAGCTCGTTAGCTAGCCACTTTCCCCTCATCCTAGCCGTTTAAAAAAAGAAAAATCCCAAATGAGAAATGATAAAGCGGGCATTTAAATCAATAGTTCCGGTCTGTGTGGATCAGACGGCTGTCGATGAAAGATATACACTTTGACTAATCTGACCAACCGCTGTGATCACACGATTACACCCCTGATTTAAGGTGCTAAGCGGTGCCTCAGAAAGTACTCTATCGTGCTTTTAAAAGCCTCCACATGAATAACTTTTTGTGTGTTTGTTAATAGTCTATTATCTGTTGCTCTGTGTGTATTTCAACATGCAGCTGACTTGAATTCGTTGCCTTCTTGTATTAAAATGGTGATCTGATGGGAGGAGGGGAGCCAGCAGCTGCTTGTGTTGCTCATTATTTATTTTTTTGCTTTGTTGCATCTTTCTGATGATTATAGCTTGGTTTTCAATGCTCTGGTTTGTTAAGTTATATTTCAGCAGTAATGAGAGTGAAGCTCAGGGTGTCCAGCTTGCAGCCCTCCATCATACTATCCCTTTGCTAGACAGGGTGGTTTAACCAACTCTTTCTAACAACTTCACCCTCTGATCCTGTTTGAGATGGACAGAATTACCTTAGAAGGTGTCATGGAGGAATTTTGACTCGATCAGGTCTGACAGCTTCTCCTGGAGAGGAGGTGGAGGATGGCATCCAGCTGTCTGGCAGGTTTTCCTCCCTGCATTGTTGCTGTCAGATGGCTTTAAAGCGTTTGTCAGGAGAATGCTATTAAGATGAGTCACTTCTCACTCTGGATGTGGGCCAGGTTTCTAGTAACAGCATCAGTCATGAAAGGCTTTGGACCTGTTGAACCTGTAAGCCTTCCACTGAAGAACAGTGGTGTAAAAAGTACATACGTTTGTTACTTAAGTAGAAGAATAGATCCTGAAGTTTAAAAGCACTCTGGTAAAAGTTGGAGTATCAACTTGACCCCTTTACTCAAGTAAAAGTGAAAAAGTATGTGCTCCAAAAACTACTAACAGTATAAAAGTATAAAGTAACCTTTAAAAAAACAGCCAGATGCCACGATATGAACTGAAAGCTAAATTTTTTTCTTAAAATTCTTTGAGATAGGGCCAAGGATGAGGGAGGTCTTGTTTGTCTCCATCTCCTGATACGCTCTCACCTGTGTTCTGAATCCGACATTGTAGCATGGCATAGACAATTCATGTTTGCAGTTTGAAGAACGCCTGCTTGCTTCTGATGATTTCCTTTAGCTAACCAATGAGTGTTTGCGTTATATGACTCATCCAGTTACACTAGTTTTCACTAGAGTTGGATGGCGGCAATGATCTGGCGCACATGACGGGAAATAAATATTTATAAACATTTAACCGAAGCCAAAAGTAACGAGTAACGTTTGTTTTAAAAATGTAAGGAATAGAAAGTACAGATATTTGTTTTAAAATGTAATGAGTAGATGTCAGAAGTAGAAGGAAAAATAAGTAATGGAGTAAAGTATAGATACCTGAAAAGTGTACTTAAGTACAGTAACGAAGTATTTGTGCTTCATTACTTGACACCTCTGCAGAAGAGTAGGTCCTATTTGGAGAGAGAATACATGAAAATCTTACAGATGGAGACTTCTGAACACCTTTGTATAGATAAGAATAGAAAATCCCTTTATTGTCCCGCAATGAGGAAATTGCGGGACAATGTTTGACTGTTAACCAATTTGGTATTATGGTCAATTGGAACCATTTAGTCCTTAGTTAGCTGATGTATGATATATATCTTATCAAATAAGCTTGTTCAGTCTGCAGATTCCAGTTCTTTTTGACCCACTTGCATGACCTGTAATCTCAGCTTTAATGGTGGATAGTAACTCCCTTATTACATAAAAATATGAATAAATGCACAAAAGAAAAGCGTTGGATGTTTCATAGTGTCAATATATATGTTCTCCAAACTAGAAAGCTTTAAAGCTGATAGCTACACAGCTTTGAAGCTTTAAACTCCCTCCAGCCAGTAACATTTAAAGAAGCAACACTTGAAATTTCACTACAAGGATGGGTTTAGCACATTTTGACCAAAACAAGATGTTGGGGCAGTGGTTCAACACTGCACCGTGCCAAAACCACCCTGGTTTGTAGATATTAAATCCCACCTCAAGGTTATTACTGGATTTGGGCCTGCTTAAGGCAAAATATTCACCAAAAGAAACAAAACTTTTCAGTAAATTTGACCTTCTAGGTTCTTCCGAAAGGAACTGGAAGAAAATTTTTCTTCTGGCCCGATAAAAACAGGGATAAATTATGGATAAAAACACCATCCAGAAGAAACTTCCAATTCTGTGAAGCAGTAACGCGTAACTTTATAAATGCTGTTAGCAAGGGGACCGTGCTTTGGTGAACCTTTTGATTTTTTTACCCTTTTGGCTCATATGCTACACTGCTATCTCTGGGCAAGTTGTGGCTGAGCTGTTAGAGGCTAACCGCTCGCATGCTGGCCTTGCTTGTGAAAAAGAGACAACACTGAGCGATGGTGTTTGATGTCATACCATGCTCCATCTAAAAAGATACCCTTTTGTTAAAAAAAAACTGTTTTTATTCTTTCAATCTATTTTTTTTCTGTTCTTTAGTTATTTTCTTTCTAATATATTTAACTGTTGCTTAATCCTCCTATATTTTTACCAATCCAGAATGGAATAGCTACGTTAACACTGCAGGCCTTGATGCTCAATTCCGATTTTTTTGTGTGAAATCCGATTTTTTTTTTTTTCTTTGCTGTTCACATTTCCAAATACATGCGACTTCTATGTGACCTCCTGTGTGAACTGCAGTCATAAAACGCAAGTGTCCCACATGCACAGTAGAGGCTGCAACGACGTCACAGGCCAGCGTGCTCTGTGTTTACAGAAGTAAACATGTGCCGGAGCGCAACTAGCGATCTTTCTCATCCATAAAAACACAAACTTTTCAAGATGGTTAAACATAAATACTGCTCTCCGCATCATCGTCTGCCATGGTTGTGTTTTTTCTTGCCGCTTCTTCATAGCAAGACCCAGAATAATGACTTTTGTCGCATTGGAGAAAATCAGAACTGTGTTGTTCAGACTGCCATGAAAAGATCAGATCCAGGTCGCATATGGGGGAAAAAAAATTTGGGTCACTTCAGGCTGCAGTGTGAACGTAGACAAAAGGTTAACCAACATTCTCCTTCATTCTGCTCATTTTTGGCTTGAATCTGATTAATGTAGTTCTCACTGAGATACTAGCTTCTGAGCTCAGTCCCAGTGACTTCAATCCACTATTCTACAATGATGGCATTGTAACCAGAAGTAAATGTTTACCTATTTTGGGCCCATCGACATCTATTAAAACAATTATTTACTAGGGTTGAATGAATTTGTTCAAAATTTTGATTATTTTATACCAATATTGCGATTTTTATTGCAATTTTATTTTGCAATAAACGCAATCATGTAAATGTTTTACTATAGGGTTTCATTTTTTTGCATGACCTTGAAAGCTTACTTATACAGAGTCCATAATTGCAGGACTTTTGTGTAACCTTTGCATGAAAAGTTATTACCTCTGATAAAATACATGGATCTGCGTTCTAGCTGCAACTCTCTCTTCCCTCCTGTGAGGCGGCAAACCCACTTTAAGTGTCTTAACGCCACCTAAAGGGCTGAAGGTGGAAATTTAGTGTCTTACTCTTACTGTTAAATGTAATCTGAATACTTCTGTGCTTTCAAATTGACATTTTTCCTAAATTGCAATTATAATGCAAATGCAATTAATTGCCCAACCCTATTATTTAC